TAGACTACTATATACATTGGAGGTTCTGATTGGTGGGTGTTATAAGCGGTCTGCATAAACAGTATTAGAGGGTTCTGATTGGTAAATGTTATAGCAGACTGTTTAATTTAGAGGGTTTATTGGCTTTATCCTTCTACATTGGGTATATTAAAATACAAAGCTAAACCTTTTGTAGTATTTTGTGGGCAGGGTGTCGTGTCATTTTTTGCTTCCATCCACTCTGGTTATCCCTTCCATCCGGGTAATAAAAAATAATTATTGCTTTCGGGAGACACATTTGGATGTGCTGAGCGATATCTGGTGACAAAAGTAAAAGGTCAGTGGCAGCTCTGGATTATTGGTAGTGTGAACCTAGTGTTGTAGAGAATCAGGGACATCGTTGTTTTAGTTGTCGTGGTAACTGCGTATGTACATGTCTTAACCATACAAATTAATACATATGCACCAAGACACATAGAACACGTCATGGGTGTATTTACAGGTAGGCTATAGAACAAAATATGTGTTCGAGGTCGACCATATTTAATGAAGTTTATGACGATAAAGCACTTGATATGGCCATGCTCATCGGACATACCCCGCAACGATAACAACTTGTGTTCCCTGAATATTGCTCATTTATTTGTCAAATAATACGTATACTCCTGAGCTGTGCATTTACTATATACATATCACACCCTGAGGAAACAGGGCAAGCGATTTCGGGTGCATTTTATACACATTACTACCAAACACCCTAACATCTACACTGTACATTAATGAGAACACCTTTACTCACATGACATTGAATAATTTGTAGCGATAGATGAAACATTTTGATACAAAGAGTGTTCATTCCAAAGTACAACTATAGTATTCCTGTGTTCTTCTTGAACGGCAACGGCGTTACAAATAAACAAAACAAAAAACTTTATAAGGCGGCTTCTATTGTGACATAAAACCGGTCAGTCAGTGAAGATTGTTCGTTCGCTGCTTCGTCCCTGCGGCGTTCAACTTTGGTATTTGCCGAGGTGTCTCGAGACCTGTTTGTCTTTTCTTTTAGGACACACTTTGAACAATCGCAACGGAATTTTTTGAAGAACTCATAATTTGTGCTGGGCGTCAAAAATACTTCATCATCCCCCAGTTCAACCGAACGTCGACCCCCTACTGACGACATAGAACATAAACATTTCTCACTAGGTTGTAATAATTCGCGGCTCTCCATGATGCCAGTATCAGGAACCGTAGTCGTAGAGACGATAGCAGCGGACTCGGACGCTGGGTGTGTTATTTTCGGTATATTGTCACTTTCTCGCTGCCCCTCCATGTATTTTTCGTCCCCATCCTGGTAATCTGGTATCTTAATTGACGATGAGCTCACGAGATTAGTGTGAACACCGACGTTTGGTAATGCCACGGATCCAATTCTAAATATGATCGGTAAGTTTTTGCTTTCTGGATCCGAATCACTTTCACAGAAATGTTGAATTTCATCTCCCTCGTCCGCGGTGACGTCAATCGGATTGTCTATACCCCCATTTTCGTACCGAGGTTTGGAATATATTTCTTGACGTTTTGTTTCCGCTGGTTTGCTGTTTTTGCAAACTTCGATCCCGCTAAAACTAACCGACGATGATGACTTGTTTTTTCTCGAAAGTTTGTTGTTGTTTTGCTGCTGCCCACCGGCGTGTATTCTTAGAGCATCCGTGTTTGACATTGACTGCGTTGAGGGCGTTTTCCGCGCATCCACCGCCGATGATACTTTTTTCGCAGAGTGCTGCATCGTCATTTTTCGGACGGCTTCGGTTGTATTCAAGCTTGGCTTGAATAAGATGATGTAACACTTGGGGAAAAAAACGCAAAATAACATCCCGTAGGCTGATGCTAACATGACAACACATTGTGCGATTACTTTGTGTTTACCAAATGTCCACAAAAAAGCAGGAAAATATGTCAACCAAACGACAAGATAAACAAACATCGCAAACATAATGTGTTTCGACTCGTTGAAATTCTCCGGGAGTTTTCTTGCGCGTAACGCGAAACCCAGACAGACGCCCGCTATCGCCCAGGTATAGAGAATCAGTATGATGTTTGCCGACATGGTGACGTCAACGCACTCCACATACGTCACTGTTTTTGATATCTCGTTATTATACTGGACGACAGGCGGGACCACGACAGACGTAATGATGTAAACCAACAGTTGAAACGCTACAAGAATTGTGGCAACAAGCAGTTGCAACCGCGTGCCCATATAGCGCTTTCTTTGTAGAGACGTGGGTAGTTTAGCTTCAAAGATCGTCAGCACACGGTGAGTTTTTACAAGTAAGATAGAGACACAACCTGTGAATCCGCATCCACGTAGGGGGCTCTGTAGAAAACACTGCCATCTGTTGGGCAGACCAAGGTAGAAAAAAGCACTGGAGAAGCATATAATAATAAAAACAAGTAGTAGAAAACTCAGTTCTCGATTAGATGCTTTTACAATAGGGGTGTTGATATGTTTTATGAATAGTCCGATTACGACCAACGTCAAAACATCGCCTATCACCGCCATCGTGACCACGGCTATTCCACCGGCGTCGCCCCATGCCATGTAGTCTAATGTTTTGGCTTTGCATTTCGTCTTGTTCATATTGGACCAATAACCAGCAGGACACGACGTGCAGGTAGTGGACCCTACAGAGACAAAGATAAAGAGGAAAACAGATAACATTTCATAGAGACCGCGCCCTCTAACGACGAAGCAATTATGTGACGTCAAAATGACGTATTTGGGTGTATTCAATGTTGTTAAAATAGTCTATCTGATTATTGTGTAGTGATTCGTTATAATTTAGGATATGGCAAATGTTTAAAAACTATATTTTGTTGGTTGTCCAAAAAATCCGGAACCGGAACGTGTAATTAAAAATATTTGGAAGCAACAAGGACGTCACAGTAACACATCGACCCAAGACATGAAGTGCGCCCTCAAGTAGAAACATCGTAAACATGAGCTTTCTGCCTATTGTTTCATCCACATTAATAGAATGAGTGTACACACAACTGCAAATTGTGATTATAATAAAAAAAAATAATATTAATAATATACAAACTAAGTCCATTAATGCAATATTACTTATATAAAACAACCCGTACGCCCAAATATTTTTAATTTCACGTTCCAGTTCAGGGTCCGGGTTTTTTTGACAACCCATTTTGTTATTGACTACAGATCAAACAAAAGAGTCGACGATGGTGTTATGAAGGCGCTTTGATAATAACAGTACAGAGAAGCGCCATCGTGCGACCGATGAGTATCGAATTTTCATTTCCGATTAATAAAAATCCCACTGCTGCTGAAAGTGACAATTAAATACAATATTGCCCGGTTTGACTGGGTGTTATAATTTTATTATTTAGATTTCTACATGACAACTCGACATTCCCCTACAAAACGTACGTAGTCTGACCTGTAGTATTGGAGATCTCTCCGTCCATACACGGCAGACACTCGAAACAGCAGCTAGGAGCTCCGGGGATGACGCCCCTCCTCGATCCAGGATAACATGCTGAGCTGCAGACAGAGACAGGCACCTGAGGGAAACGAACAAAGGACGTAAAACGAATGTGTATAGTGGTTTAAATTTTTATGTAAAATACATGGATAACTGTTATAACACTGACGTGTGAACACAACAAATAATTACGATGTGTCAATTCCAGAAAACTTGAATCACAAATTAACACCAAGTATAGCGAAAATAGATGTCACGTGACCTATCTTTTGGTTTGTCAAAATTTAATGGGCAAAATTATCGCTGACAATGCAAGTTATAAACGGTGAAATATGTAACATACTCATTCGCGTAAATGGCAAATGTTAGTAGTTAAAAATAATACAATTTAAATATGTTTTAACCTAAATACCTGCTTGTTGACTTGCCCATACGACCACTGAGCATTGCTTGAGTTCATAGTCAACTCTTTGCCGCTGGGGGCGCCTCCATCATACAAACCAATTTTGATAAAATCGACGACTCTGTCGGCATCAGAAGATTCCTGCCAATTGACGATATGATACATGCCACTGACGTCGCCGTCATCGCTAAAATGGATTGATCGTCCATCAGTTCCGTTGAATGTCACTTTTGATATATATTTCAACAGTTGCCATGGTTGCAGATCATTGATATCGGGACAAGCGCCATCTTCCAGCAAACCGCCCCCTTCTGTGCAGGTGCGGATATTTTCGAGGGCATTGGCGAAGGCATACACTGCGAGGTACGTTCGATACGTCCCCCACAGACCTGTTGGTTTGTAGGAAGGAGTTTCAGTGATCGTGTTCACATTGGAACAAACCTGTTTCTCGTCGGTGGTATTGTCAAGCAGTTGTAAAGTTTGTGGAAGTAAACAGTCAAACGATGTCTCCCAGAGTTCTTCTAAAAATGGATTCACCACGGTGCTCCCGAACGGTCTCAGTTCTTGAAGATATTTACCAAAACCAGGGATCTCGCCAAGAGTAAGCAAAATGCCCTGAGTTCCTACAATAATGGACGGGTCCATCGCCGCTATCTCGTTGTTGTCCGCCCATGCTTCACTGGCGATCCAAATACGATCTGAATAGATGAAAATCAATAAACTTTGTAACATACGGGTAAAGTCAGATTACATCAAGTACGAATGAGATAAGTCTGACTGTAATCGCAATTACATGCATATTATCAATAATATCAAAACTCTATTACGTCATCGCCTTATAAAATTTCATGATTATCGGACCAATTGCTGTTTAATTTCCGCTCAATCTTGAAGTTTGGTCTCGTAAGCATATAAATGAAGCAATCTAACTGACATAATGAGATCATTTTTTGCATATACATTGATAGAAATGTATTGGCATACTTTCAAAGGGGTAAAACCTAAATTGAAGGCCCGTCTCATTTACACATACACATCAATCGCAATTCGTATACTAGGTCGTAAACGCGACGTCAGGGTAACATTTTATACAGTTGTATTGGCCACGCGTTAAAATAATATCCTGCAACACCTAACGTTTCCGAGCAATCCATGATCATAGTGATTTTGAAATTCTGTGTTATGAAATAGAATAGAATGAAGATTGTAACTAAGAACAAGATGACGACGTAAAGCATCCAACAAACAAACAAACAAGAAAATCGCATGTATGTTGTCAGAGTGCAGTTCATGTACTAATTACCTGTTATTCCCTGCTTGGCAATTTCTTCAAAGATCAATTTAATTTTCGCCACATGAATAAAAGTTACTATAACTTTCGCGTTAGGATTTTCCATGATGGCTTTAACAATTTCCTCTATTTCTTCAGAAGTTGGATAGGAAGATACGAGCTTGCGAAATGCAACGCAGACGTCTTGCTTCTCGGCTTCGCGGATGAATTGTTCAATTCCTGGTCTGCCGTACGAATCATCAGCGGCAATGGTGCCGACCCACGTCCATTCAAAATGACTGACAACGCTCGCCATGGCAACTGCTTGCATCGCATCACTCGGCACTGTGCGGAAGAAAGACTTATAGAGTATTCTATCGCTAAGTAATCGACTCGTTGAACTATAGCTGATCATCGGCATATTGAAAATCCCAAGAACACTAGCTACCGAGATGGAGGTCGCCGAGTTACTCGCTCCGACGACGCCAATAATTCTCTTTTCATCGGCGGCGTCAGAATCATCGTCCACGGCATTGGCGACAAAATCGATCGCTGCTTCCAAAGACTTCGAAACTGACGTGCATGTATCCCGTATATCATACCCAAGGGTGATATTGGGCAAAATATCGCCCCGTCTATTGATTTCATCGATGGCGTATATCATGGCCTGTGATCTACGGAAGCCCTTGTAGTCGAAACCTGCGCATATCTCCCTTATCGGACCGCTTTCTAGGTTACTGTCTTGAATTTCAATGCGAGAGTGGAAGGCAAACAACCCACCGAGCATCACATCGCCTGGCTGATATATTCGGGAAGGGGCGCTTTTGTTTTGGCGTGCACATGATACGGCAAGAACAGAGAAACTTATAATCAGCCAACCTGTATTGCACATGTGAGCTCTGCGTGTAACCATACTTTTGAGCGGTGTCGACTACGTTCTGTCGTGACGTGTGGTGAAGACCATTTCAAGTAATATAGTCTGATACGCGTATTTGGAAAAGTATAAACCACAATGAACACACTCTATACTGTTGAAACACATTTCGAAGAATAGCGGCAAAGGCGTGAATGAGTTCACTTCAATTGGTTTTCGGTACTGGCATTACTGTCATCGCCGCAGTTCTTTCTTGGAAACCGCGCCTAATGTCCGCCCCTTGGCGGCTATGTACTCTCAACGGCGCGGCACAGATAATCAGCCCTGCAAAGAAAACGGAACGTATTATCGTTAATAAAAAAAAAACAGGAGACATGAATCGACACATCAGTGCCATTAATTACGCTACTTTATTATGTCATGGACAAATCAATAACAACGACAAATTTTGCTTGGTGCAGTTAATTTATTAATTTATTTTTCTGCAACAGAATAAGTCTGTCAGTTAACACGTGGCCATTCCATGGTAACCGTCATCTAAACTTCTTTTATTCGTAAACGAATGACGTCGAATTAAACATTAAAAATCGATCACAAATGATCGCTAAACTGTCCAAACGTATTCGCTCTACAACTTACACAAACGCACATGCGCATTGGATTGATGGTACGTACTATTAATTCAACTTGCATTAAAAAGTCCGTATTTTATCGAACGAATGAAAATATAGTTATGCAATTTGTGGACCAGGGTACACTACTGAGCACGTTACGGCATATATGTTCAATGCATTATTGAAGAGAAATTCATATTGTTTATTTTACCTTCAAATAAATTATATGTTCATTTCTATCTATGTCATCAAGCAAATTTTTGAAAAATAAAGAAATCATTTCACCATAGAAACCAGCGTAAACA